ACAACAACAACAACAACAACCCAATCATTTGGTGGGCGTTACCAGCACCACGGCAGAAGAGCCATAATTCACTGTACTGCCAGCCACCTCTCGGCAAACCTATAAAAAGTCACCATGAATCCAAAAGGACTTGATGGTACTTAACAACAACATATACTGTAATGTATTTCTCAAAACTCATATGACTGTACAATGCAAATTGTGAACCCTAACATAATCTATGGACTTTAGTTAATAACAGTGAATCAAAATGGGCTCATCTGTTGTAATAAATATATACAGGAATGCAAGGTTTCATAGTAGAAGAAATAGTATGGAGGAGGGTGAGAAGGAGGTATATGGTTTGTAAGCAAACCCCAAAACAGAGGCATCTGGCATGACTGAAATGGTTGCACTAGATCTAAATGAAGCTAAATTTTTTATTAAACTGCAGCTTGGCCTGAAATCTCTACTACTCTGAAGAGAATACTTTAGCTTCTTGTTTAGTTTAATTGCTTGTAATCCAAAAGGGGCAAAGATCAAGATTTTAGCTTGTGAAAGGAATCCTTAAAAGATGCTTTTCAAGAGTGTTTGTGCAGTCTAATTCAAGAAGAATGTCTAGGTGAGCATGTTCTAGGTTAGAAAATAGAAATGAAAATGTTATAGAAATTGTAGTTCAGCAACCTTCTTGTAAGCGTTAGTCATGCACACCCGCTACCACAGGCATGTCTTTGTTTACCACTTGATGAAAATCTCACTGTCTTCTGGCAATATGGAACACCTGGTGATTAGTGGGTTAAGCATTGGGCCACTAACCACAAGGTCAGCAGTTCGAGTCCACCAGCCGATCCTCTGCGCCTCAGGAGAAAGACCTTCTACTCCCATAATTCAGCCTAGGAAACCCTATCTACTGGGGTCGCTGAGTCCGAACTGACTCCACATCACATAAGAAAACTACTCTGTCCCAATTCTACTATGTCTCCTGGTCCGTTAATTTACCTTCCAGTAGAGTCCTGGTGTCTGGAGTCCTGGTGTGGCGCTGTGGGTCAATGCACCAGACTGCAAAGCCGCTTGAACTGCCTGGTCGGCAGTTCAAAGTCACCAGCTGCTCCTTAGAAACCCTATACAGGGTCGCTATGGATCAGAACTGACTCTATGACACTTCACAAGACCTCTTTACCTCTAACAGTGTTCTGTTGGTGCTTTTCTGCAAAAACGGAAACACTGTATTTACTACACAATTTTTCTGTACACTTACCCTATATTACCCTATAGTTTTATTAGTTTAAAAAAATGCACGGATTAAAAAAAAAAAAAAATCTGTATTTCCACTTTTCTCGAAGGACCACAGCACAAAGGTAGCTGTTTGGGTTATGATTCTATCAAAGGACTCCAGGCCCAAGAAGAGTGCTTTATAACCTGGCACTCTAGTGTCAGCTCGTTAAGGGTCAACTCTGCTCACAGTGCAAATCTCTCCCCCACCCCCCTCCCCCCGCCCAGCGTAAACCCGGCAATAGCTAGAAGAACCCAGTCAAGCCCAGGAACCCATTGTTAGGGAGCGTGTCTTCCCAGGAATCCATTGTAAGGAGCGTGAAGAGAACGCCAGGAGATGGAGCTGGGAAAGGTTTGTTGTTATGGTTGTGTGCCATCGAGGCGGTTCCGACTCATAGCAATCCTGTATAGGGTTTCCCAGTGCGGCTGGTGGGTTTGAACTGCCAACTTTTGGGTTACCAGTCCAGTGCTTACCCGAGAGCGGTTTGGGAATTCGAAAAAAACTAACAAGACCAGATGTATCGCTGTAGGATAAGCACTGAACCACAAGGTCGGCTGTTCAAGCTCATCAGCGGTTCCTCGGAAACCCTACACAGGGTCACTATGAGTCGGAACCGACGGGTCGACGTTATACAAGAACACCTACAGCCTAGTACCCCTCTTCCGGCAGGATTACGTGTTCGCGCCGGTGGTGCTCTTGTTTTCCGGTCCGGCCCTAGAGGATGAACTCTTAGTTCCGTACCGCGCGGTCCCACTCGTTCTCCGCACACCTCCGTCCGCACTCCAGGCCGTGGCCTAACATTTGTGTACTACGCCGTACAGCGTTTCCCGGGCGCGTCTGCAGGGGGGCGCCGGAGGAAAGCGACCGCATTCTCTCTCCTAGTAGAGAAAAGAGTGCGGGGTGTCAGTCTTCCGCCTGCTCAGCAAAAGCTACCTTTATGAGCGGAAGGCCCAGCACTAATCAACTGTGGAAAGTTGATTGTAGGTCTGGAAGGGGCGCCCGCTTTCTCTGAACACTCGTTTTGTAAGTCCGAGGCGAGGGCACTGGAGAGAGCCTCTGTGTTTGGCACGCCCATACCGTTATTTTTGGCTGGTTTCCAGCGCTGACGAGTGCCCCAGCTGGGTCCTGGCCTGAGAGCCTTTGACCTAACACTGTCCAGCCGGCCGACCATGCCTGCGGGCGTGTCCTGGCCCACCTACCTGAAAATGTTCACAGCCAGCCTCCTGGCCATGTGCGCGGGGGCAGAAGTGGTGCACAGGTACTACCGGCCCGACCTGGTGAGTGCGGGAGGGTCTCGAGACCACTCCATCCAACTAGTGGTATTAAAATGAGGGTAACAGGAATCTTCCAGAGCTAGTCACTGGCCTTTTTACTTCTGTATGTGTCCTCTGTCGCAGCCACACCTGCTTTCCTGCTCTTTCTCAAATTATCAATCCTATTGCCACCTCTGAGTACTGGTGTGACACTGTAGGGATAAGCACTGGACTGCTAACCTCAAGGTCTGCGGTTCAATCCCACCAGCCGCTGCTCGGAAACCCATACCGGGTAACTCTTGAGTTGGAACAGATTTGAGAGCAGTTAGCAACGTCGTAGGAGCCCTGGTGTGGCGCTGTAGGATAAGCACAGGATCCCAAGGTTGATTTTAACTGCAAGGTCCGCGGTTCAAACTCACCAGCCGTTCCTGGGCAACCCTATACAGGGCCTCTATGAATTGGAACCAACTCACCAGCTCCACAGCCCTTCGTGGCTACCTCAGGGCCTTTGCTTTTCCCTCTCCCTTGAGTGCGTTTCACCCACACCTAGAGTTTGGTTTCCTTCTAAACTTCATCCCTGCTGAGATGTCTCCTCCAACAAGGCTTTTTGTTAGGACAGTTCCCAAAGGAAACCTATGCTGTGCTCTGCCTCAGTCATTTGCCTCCATACAGCACCATTTCATTTAGAGTAAAATCTGCAAAAATCTGGAACCTGCTGTGTAAGGCAGTAACTTGTCAGAGAAGGAAAATGCACATATTTTTCACTAGTGATAAGACTGCACCCTGACAAAAAGGGAAAACTTGCCAGACCTGGAAAACCCAGGCAGTCCCATTTGAGTTCCGACTCTCACAGGTTCCACTGTGTTGGATTCCTATGTTGATCTGTGTCACGGCCACAAGAATATCAACTCCTTAAAGGGACTGTCTGCTTCACCCTCCTTTGACCTAGAAAAGAACTTGGATTGTAGTAGATGCTTGCTGAATGAAAAATGACTGAATATTGGCATTCAAAGGAGGGAGAGATTTCAATTAATTTTAATAAGCATGTTTTGAATGAAATACTGGGAATTAAAGGTGCCTTGTTGAAGATTCTGGGGAGGAGAAAGTGAGTATTTGGCAAGTCTTTACAAGAGGTTGCAGTTATACAGCAGGTGTGTATAGAGTGATTTAGGAGCCCAGTGTAGGAAAGAATCTTACGTGCCTGGACAGGTAGCATTTACTGAAGACCAACTGTTTGCATTTCTAATTTCAATTATTCGTGACTACAATTTTGAAGGCATTTCTCCTTGCTGTCATGTGAGGGAACTGAGGTTCAGAAGAGTCAACGTTTAGATTTACCAAGGTCACGTAACTCTTGAGTTACTGAGTTGAAGCCCAGGCTTTTTGTTTGTTTCAAATGAGTTGCTTTAATTCCAGGTGGGACAGAATTCTGGGCATAACAAAGATTGACGAGCAGCTCCAGCAGGATTCTGGCCTGGGTTTAGTGACCACATAGCTAAGAAAGGACTAAAGAGATGGACCATTGTAGGATTTCTTTTTCTTCTTTTAACAAAAGTTTCTTCTTAATTATACAACAGGCTACAAGTCAACACTTCAGTCTAACTATAGGTGGCAAGAGCTGTTCTAGCAGGGACTTCAAATGTTTCAACAGAAATGGAATCATTGGTCGTCATCGCCTCAGTCACAAAGAACAGGTTATTTTTTTGCCACATTTCTGAATTCCACCTGTGGCCTGGGGACCCTTCCCCGCAACCTTCACTTTGAGCTCTTCAGATTTCTCCTGCTCTTCTTTTTGTTTCTGTTTGAAAGCTTTATCTTCTTTGTTCTGTTTTGTGGGTTGTTTCAGGGGCGTCTTGCCACCTTTGTGACCTGACATGGCGCCTGACGCCCCCTTCCCAGACCTACCACCTGTAGCCCAGGCTTTGTGTTTGGCCTTCATCCTACTGTGCTCCTTTTTGGGTAGAATCAATGCTTTTGTAAAAAGTTTGTACTGAATTGAAGTATGTACTTACCACTTCACACCACTTCTCTTCTGAGAGTCCTGGGGATACATCAAGGATACCTAGCTGAGACAAAAGAGCGTAAGAAGCTTCTGTGAAAACTTAGAATACTTTCGTGCAGGAGTAGATCTCAGGGAGACCTTATAAAGAAAGGAATACCTGGGATTTGACACCAGAAGATTGGTCTTTGACTCACTGATGTCATTAAGCACATGAGAATGTGTTGGGTTGTTACGAAATGTTACCTGTACCTTTGGAGGAGACCCCACGAAGCCCGAATCTTTAGAAGGAGCAAAGACAGACCTGAGGCCACACCTGGGCGGTGACATTGGCAGTTGGGCAGCTCTGTAGT